TGGCCCAGGACAGGCCACCAGCTGATACTGTATTATAAACAATTAAATGTGGGAAGCACATATGAAGATAGCAGGTGCCTGACCAGAATAGCTCCTGCAGGGCAGCCCAGTGCTGTCATCTCAGCCGCCACAGCACCCTCACTGCCCTGGCCAGGAGGGTCTTTACAGGGAAGCTACAAAGGGCACAGACGCATTACTAAAGGATTTAAATTCAAGAGGTTTTAACCTCTTAGCAGCTCTAGTCTGTTTTCTGTCCTTCAGCTCACAGTTCTCACATGCTCAGCCCTCCCCAGCAGCTTGGAGTTCAAGGGATGTTGGTGCAGTGGCCAAGGCCCAGGGTAAGGGAGCTCTGCAGCCACAGCAGGAGGGGGTATCTCCAGGCACCGCAGCACCAACACATCAGAGGTAGCGAGGCACTAAAATCAGCAGTCAGAGAGCTGGTGCTGCCGAGTGGCACACGAGCGTGTCTACCCCCATCCTCAGCACAGCTTTTGGCAGACACACTCCCCTTTGTTGCAGGACACAGACTCCATAGCACTGCATGCAGTTTAAGTTTTACTGGAACAGATCCAGAGGAGGCACTGCAGCAGGGAAGCAGCCCTGAGCCTGGTGTTGGTCACTGTAAATGAAAGCAGAGCAGGACCCAGGAGGCCACAGCCACCCCTCTTCCCAGGGCAGCAATTCATGGCAGCAGGAAGGAAAGGGAAAACCAGAGCATTCTGATGCAGGGGCACTTGTCACTAGTGCCCCGGGGTAGGTAATGACAGAAAGACCAAGAATCCAGAGCCAACGTGCTGCATGGTAGATATCATGCATTTACAGGCCAGCTCCCCTGCCCCGTCACCACTTCAGAGGCTGCTGCTAGCAGATGACCTGATGGCAGGGGAGGACAGGGGACTGCCGGGCATTGACCTCCCGAGGTAACAGGAAGGCTGGAGACTTTCTGCCTACAATAGCAAAAGAATGTGGAGGTGCTGCAAGCATCCCTCCCCTGGGGCAGCCAGGCAGAGGCCAGGGCAGCAGGGACACAACAGCCCACCCTCCTCCCAGTGCAAGGTCAGGCTAGCAGGAGGCAGGTCAGGTTTTTGTTTTTTTTTTTAAAAAAAAAGCTAAAGAAAAGTTAAATTTGGCTAGCAGGAGGCAGGGCAGGCTTTAAAACCCAACAAAAGGTTAAGGGCCAAGCTGCTGTATAGTGCTTGCAAAGAGGATGCTGGAAGATGTTTTGATAAATATTTGCTACGTAAGGCTTTATCTGAAGGCCACACACGCATGTGCTCCCCACCTTGCTGGGGACTGTCCTATAACCAGTGTTGTTTTTCCTGAGCAGAGGTACCTCACAGTGCCATTAATTTGTGCTGCATTGACCCAAATGTTTGGTGTTACCCTGCAGCTGCTTCCCGAGATAGCCATCCAGGTAGCCTGGCCATGCTCTGCTCCATCAGCAGGATGGGCTCCAGCACCACCTCCAGGACTTGGACAGGAGGGCAAGCCCAAAGGCAGCTGCTTCCCCCTTGCACAGATCCAGCACTCAGCAGCCCAAGGCCCCAGCCAGTCCCACACATCCAGCACCAGCCCTTGGAGATGGCAGCCACTTGCCTGGCATCATCCGGGGCTGTGCCACCAAGCCCCAGCAGCAGGAACCTTGGGTTGAAGAGAAACACAGCTTTGAAGAGAGATTATTTCTTACAGTTAAAAATTGTGACCATGAACAGGCTTGGATCTTAGGCAGCAAATAAATTCACAAGCTCCAGTTTGTGAGTTGTAAGATTTCTGAGAGACTGTCACTGGGGAGGGTGAACCACCCATGAGGGGATTTTTGAACAATGAGGTTTCACATGGTGTTCCATGAAAATCTCCTGAAACCAACCTGATTTCTTCTCTTCCCTACCAGTATCATGCATAACAACCTCCAAGCCCCAAAAAAATCAGCTAAGCACACAGAGGGTGGCCCTAGGTCAGCCCAGGCTTTTCACAGCTGAGGCTGCCAAGGGCAGCCAGGTTGAAGCCTGGAAGAGCTGTTTCCGCAGTGCTGAGTTTTATGCTGCAAAATCCAGACTGAAAAAAGCAGCAAATACAACTTTCAGTGCCAGTGTAAGACATCCCAGGTGGTTCATCCACAGCACAGGCCAGTGAGCCCAGAAGCAGTTGCCCAGCACTCATGGGCAGGCAGCTGAGCCTCAAGCCCCTCACCACAGGGTTGTGGCCCTGGCTGCATGCCAGGCCCAGTTTTACCTCCACAATATCATTCCATTTGACATTCAAACATCATTAAATATAGCAGGCATTTCAAGAGCTGTTCTTAGGAAGCAGAGGGGCTGGGACAAGGCGACGAAGGTGCAGTTGGCACATTTGGGGGACATGATGGGGGAATAGCCCTGGTATGGCCTCCAGCTGGCCTAATACGTCTCTGAGGAGAGACCCTTTGGCTGCACAGCCCAGCAGCCTCAATCAGCTGGAAATGGATCACAGAGCAGAGACCAGAGGGACATTACAATGCTTTGCTGGGCGAATGGCAGCCACCAGGATGTCCCTGCATGCTGAGAACAGAGACAACCACATGCACAAGCAAAACTGCTCTTTGGAGAAGAGGAGAAATCAAACACACATACACCCTCCTTATCTGCTCAGCAGCAACCTCGTTCTCCTGAGATTCACATTCCATGAATTGACAGCAGCATACCCTTGGTGACAGAGGACTTCAGTGACTCCTCAGATAAGCAGCCTGTTAGAAGTTCCTGCAGTGAGAAGAGAAATGCCTGAGGTACAACAGCCAGGACATTTCTCCCTCAGCTTCTTTCCCAGCAAGGACAGAGACCTGCTCTCAACTGGGGGAAGCTGCCAGCGGATACCAGGAGGCAAAAGAGCAGGGAAACTGGTTTTGCTTCGCTGCCCTGTGGACCATCACCACCCATCTGCTTTCAGGGAGGCCTGCACAGCACCCCCAGGACTGAGCCCCCCTCAGCTGCATGCAGCTGTGCTTGCAAGCAGGAGGAGGATCTAAACCAGCAGCAGATGACACAGTTTGAAGTGTGCCAAGACAAACCCAGCTTCCTAAACCCATAGCCTTAAGGCCCTTTCTGTCCTCTGCAACCTTGGCACTTTGGTCCCAGCAAAGGGTCACGCTATTCCCACAAAACCTCTTGGGGCTTCCTATGCTCTCAGCAACCTTGCTCTGGAAGTTTCAAGGCTCATTTTTTCCTGATGTCTAACCTGAACTCCCTCAACTAAGGCCCACACAGTCTCACCCACAGCTAGCACACAGGCTGTATCTCACTTACACTGCCCTTCCTCCAGGCTTCCTCCCAGGAGTCTCACTACCTCCCTCCAGTGACATGAGCTATGCTTAATGAATTTTCCTGCTAATTTTAAACCAATCTCCTTGCTTGTGGGAGTAGCAAAAACCTAAAGACAACAACAGATGTTTTGCCATCTCCAGTAACTTCTCAGATTAGATGTTTCACAAGTAATCCAGTGCTCATTGCCTAAACAAGAACCAAAACAGTTTATTTCTGGCTGCCAGGAAATACCCTCTTCTCCCAAGAGTGGGCCCAGGCACATCTCTGTTGGTTTCAGTGTATTGCCAAGATATCCAAGTGATGATTAGATACACCCTGAAGAAAAAAATCCATCATCCACAAAATGCAGCACTGAGCACAGGCAGACTTATCACTGGTGGGACAAGAGGGGACACTACCTCCAAGAACACCCTCAAAGGCTTATGTAGAATACACCCCAAGTAACAGAACTCACCTCCTCTCCAGTTACTTCATTCTAAATAGAGACTTTACTGCTAAATTTTACCACTTGTCCTACCCATCCTCCCTAAGTTCTCCAGCAAATTGAAGATGTGGCAGAAAAAGCTTCTTGGGAAGATGCTTGGAAAGGAAATAGTTGTTCAAAGGCAAAAAAACCCCCACACATGTCACTAGGATTAAAGTTGCTACCACAGGTAACACCAAGAAACCACATCTAAGATCAGCCTGACCCAAAGTGGCAATATCAAGCATTACCACTTAGGCCATCACCCCTGCTTGTACCAGCTGAGGCATGTTAGCCCTGGCAACATGCTCCTGAGCAAACAGTTCCACCAATTGCAGGTAGCTCTCCGGAGAAGCACTGCATGTTCCCCAAGTGGTTGCTCTCCCTGGACACAGCACATTCCAAGCCAAATAAAATCCCTGAGCCCAGCTAACACATTGTGAAACCACTGGAGTCACACACTGGGCTCAAGGGGTCAAACTCCCAAGTTTTCCAAATACCTGCAGAATTACTGGCTTCAAGATGTCCACGGCCTTCCTGCCAGCAGCTTTCAGTGAGCAAACACAAGCTACAAGTTCTCCAGGGCACTTTAAATCCTAAAGGTTCAACACAGTTAGCCAAGGGGCAGAGTTTAAGGCTCTGTGAGCAACTTTTCCCCTCATAGCCCAACTCGTTCGTCATGATTTTTCAGTAAGAAAAAGTTGAGAGCACATCCTGTGCTTTGCACAGGTAGTCTTCCCATCGCTGTGTATAGAAATACAGATATAAACGCCTGCAAATTTTATTGGAATCAAAGCCCTTAACCATATCAGAAATTAATGGGAACACAATGAAGTAATGCAAGATAGTTGCTCTGGAGTGAGAATGCATCAGAGCTGAACACAGGCATTGGGCTACTTTAACTTTGCATCCAAAAGCAGTGAAGAAGTTGACATCTTGCATAAATTCTTGCTTGATAGAGCTGAACACACTTACTCTTCTCCCATGATTTGGAGGGGGGGGAACATTAAGCCTTGAGTTTAAAGTATTTGAATTTGGCAATGTGAAATTCAGCCTGCAACTCCACTGAGGTAATTGCTTATCAACAGGCCACTGTCTTACAGTCTTCCACTTTGTCCAACAAGGAAATTGCACCATAAACCCTTCATAGGAAAATATTTACACAGAAAATTTCAGCTATTGTTGAAACAATTTAACAATAGATCTTTCCTAAAAACCTGCTAATGAGTATCTAGCATTTCTTTTTGAGATCCTACACTCAGTGTAATTTAAATAGCATTTGAAACATTCCAACAGGAATCACATTGCACAGAAGCAGCAATTTGCTTCTCTAACGTTTTTGCGCACCTGCTTAGAGCCTGTGCATTTAGTGCACAAGCTTACAATGCCAAGCCTCTACGTCGGTACCTAACGAACGCTACACAGCGAGGTTCTCTGGAATGAGGGCAAGCATCTTTGTCTCTAGGCTGTAATGACTTAAGGCTTCTTGCAGCTTGCTTTGCTTGGTCAGCAAAAGCCAGAGAAGCGCCATCCACTTTCACTCCTGGATTGGAGTTGGAATCCGATTTGTTCCAGCAGACTAAATCCCATTGCTGTTTCAGGCAAGTAGGCTAGTGATGAGTCAGTTGTGGGTGACTCCAGGCCCTTCTGGAAGGAGGGATGCAAAGAAAGTCTTGAAAAAAACCCACGCTGTGCTCATAAGTGAAGGATTGGCCTGCTGCAGTTCTTGTGAGACTTGTCCCTCATCAGGAGACACCTCAGATTCATCTGCTCTGCCTGCATTTCCCCCCTGTCAAAGTGAAGGATATTTGATATATGAGATCATTGCAGAAATGAGCAGAATCAGGTGTCAAACAGCATGTTTGTTACCCAAACGTCACTGTCGGGATATAAAAAGCTTGTGAGTATCCCCAGCCAGCCACAAAGCCAAAAAACCCAAGCTGCACACTAGCATTACTGGTTAACTCATGCTGTGTGTCCAAGAGCACTGCCTGGGGTAGGCGTGAAGCACCACATCAGGTAGGTGAGCTATGCATTTACAACTAATTAACATCCTGAAGGACAGAAACAACTGAAAGATAACATTCAGCCTGAAATATTTCATAGAACAGAGGAATTAGCTACAGCAAAGCTGGCAATTATTCCACCGTAGAAGAGAGTTTGACAAAAGTTTAGAGAAGAGTTTTTGCTACTACCTGTAATTAGTAAACTTAAAACTTCACAGGGTTTCATGCTCATTGCTTAAGAAGATACCAAGACAATACCTGTAAGTTATTGTTCTGGTCCTGGTTTACAGCAGCTTGAGGGGGAACATTGCCTGGGAAGGGCTGAACTGGTCTTCGTCTAAATGGAAGCCATCCCACATGGTGCCTGGGGAAACCAAGAGGTTTTTATTAACACCGGATAAATATTCCTCCTTCCTGCTACACCAACACAGTTCAAGTAACACCTGACTGCTCAGAGCTGCAGACAGCAAGTTCAGCACAGTAAGGTCTCTGACCAGGAAAGCACTTTCAAAGCCTCCTGTCAGCAGCAAGCCATGAGGTAGGAGGGGAAGATGAAGCATCTGCTCGCCTTCAAAATAAGCAGCACTACATCCAGGTTTGTGTCTACTTCATCAGGACTCAGCCTGCTGGAGCACACTGTTGGAGGTACAGACAGCCTGCTTGAAAAAGGCACAAAACCTGCAAAACACAGCGCTATCTTACCAAAACACAACAGGCCAGACAGCCTTAGGTCTGCATCTTTACAGCACCTGCATCTTGTAGCCCATAACACAAGCTGTTCAAAGTTACACTTTCAAATTATCAATAGTAAAATTTAAGGACTTTTAATGAAGCAATTAACCTTCACTCTCCAAGTATAGGAGCTGCCTAGAAGCTGGGAGAGCTGCTCCAATTTTAGCTCCTAGACCCACCGACAGGAGTTCAGAGGCCTACATCACTTGTTTCACTAGTGATCAAAGAATTTGAGGGGACAGGTTATCCTTCTTGGACACGGCACCCCAAGCATGTCAACTGACAGCCCGTTATCTTTATTGTGCTTCTAAGAGATTTATCCCAAGAGAGGCTCCAGGGCAATTCAGGACACCGCACTCAGTTTAGCTTTGTCTGCTCTCCAGAGAGGCAACACACAGCAGAAAAACCCGCATGGGTTTGTGACTTCAGTGCGAGAGCCTCTTCCCCACAGACTTCAAACACTCAACTCCCCTACAAGCAATGGTCACATCCAACACCGAACCTACACCACCAAGCTGCTGGGGCCTTACACCAAGAGCTACTTTGGTTTCAAGTAGTTTTCTAAAAGGGAAGCCAGCCACAGAAGAAGCATTAGTACAGAAATCATGCAAGATTACTCACTATCACCCATTCTTCATTTAATCCAGGCATGGGCAATACTTGTATTTTTGCTAAATCCTGGGTTATACCAGGAGAGCAGAGTGGTTCACCCTTTCCAGGTACAGGAGTCAAAGCTCCATGGCCAGCAAGCTGACGACAGTACAGAGCTCAGTATTTCAGCCAAATATTCCTTACCACAACAGTTGACATTAGCAACATGCACTTACAGATACATCAGCACAGTGCCACCCATAACCAGGAGGAATCTACTGACACTGGAGTAGAAGTAGATAATGTTGACAAAAACGTAGAACAGTGTTGCTGAGTAGAGCCAGTCCAACCAATCACGATTGCCACCATCCTCCTCTTCCTCCATGAGGGGACCCCCTTGGGCATTCATCCGCAAGTTCTGGTTGGCCGCTGCGTTAACCTGGGCAGCAGCGTTCTGGTTTCCAGGCTGATTTTGTGCAGGAAATTGGTCTGGGAGAGGAGCCGGGGGTGTCACTGGTGCCACAGGTATCTCCCGAGAACGCTGTGCATGGGGTGGGTTGGCAGATGCAGCAGTAGAAGCCAAGCTGAAACCACAGAACAGAGCACAGAATAAGGCTCAGTCAAATCCTTTGACACTTAAAGATGGACAAATTTTCAGTGCCTGTGTTAAGTACAGAGTCATATCACATCCAAGTGGAAAGCATCAAGTTTAGAGGCTACAGAAGGGTCAAAACCAAGTTTTAGTTCTACCTATGACAATGGTTACATAGCAACTTCAGTGAGCCAAACCAGGCAACTTCCACTGGATGAACAGTAACTTCCATACTTGGCAAAAAGTTCTCTAGAGCAATCTCACATGAGTCTGGAACACTGCTGCACATCTCAGCTTTACCTTGATCACTGACTTCCAGTCAGTGCTGTGTGCTGCTCTAAGCAGTCAAAAACACAGTGAGGAGCTAAGGCTGAGCAGCAGGATTACATTTACCCCACAGACACCTGCCCTCCTGACTGGAACAGTCAGAGATCAGCAGTTTTCACAGTTCAAAAAGCACTGGCCTGAGCAGCAAACCAAGCAGCACGCAACAGAGGTACATTCCCACACCATTCAGCATGAGTTACAACAACAACTGCCAGGGTGTTCTGATCACACTACATCCAAAGAAGAAGAACTGCCGGAAGCTCCCCATTCCCTTGTATTATAGTTTCTGCTGGTAGCTCCGGACAGAACACTTACTATTGCATGTAATATTGTCTTGCATAAATCTGCTGAAGCCAGGACATTTGGAGCATGCTGTAGGTCGTATAAGCAGAGAAGCCAGGAGCCACACTTCGGAAGGGATGCAGAGTTGTTTCCAGCCTTGGTCAAAATTTGGACACATCCATTAGCAAGTACTGGACAAACTGCAGGAGTCATTTATTACAGGACAAGGTAAACAGCTTCTGCCATTTTGTGCATCCAAACGCAAAGTTAACTCTTCTCTCTAGAGTGTTAAAGACCTCTCTTCACCCACACGAATAAAGGGGAGGTTTGAAACTAACAGAGCAGTGCATTTTCCTTTAGCTTCTCACACCCACTGAAGCTTTATGTATATGCTCATCATCTTCGGCCCACATTCTATGGACTTAAGACAGCATGTGTGGCGCAAGGGGCCAGCACCCAACACAAAGCCAACATTTTAAAAAAATCTTAGTGACACACATAAAAGTTGCATTTACCCATTACTGGCTTCTGCTGAAGACTGCCCACCAGAAGAGTCTCTCTGTCCCTCACTGTCTGAGGCAGATACAGGTGGTTCTTCACTATCTTCTGATGGTAACTTTGGCTGATCAGCTTTAACCTAGGGACAGCGATGCAGTCAGGGAGGTTTACTCAGAACGCTACCCAAGCCTTATGCAAAAAGGTTACACCACACTGAGCAGGCTCTTATTTTTTAACTGCTACACAGTTCAGGCACTTCATCCTGCAGAGTACTTCTAGGTCACTGATGTTGCTCTTGGGCACCGTGCCACAAGCACCTCCATCAGTGTTTTAAAGCTCCTTAAAAAATGACTGGCATGTAAAAATAGCTTGATATTGCTCTTCGCTCTCACCAGATTTTTTTTTCCCCCCACACACACAGAGCCAGGTCCCATCTGGTTATAAAAATGTAATTAGAAGAAAGAGGGAACAGCACGCAAGGCACTGACTTCTTAGCTGTCATGATGAATTCATATTTGCATATACAAACTGCCATACACAGACAGAGTTCAAGAGCTGTTGTGTGGTGACACATCAGCAGAATATCCACACCAAAGCTGGCTCATGCCTAGCCAACACCAGGCAGGGGCAGGGTAAGCTCAAACTGCCTATAACAGGCAATATAAATGCACCTCCAGACACATTACCATGTCTACTTAGAAGTAAAAATTGGTTTTGGCCATTTGCACCAACGACCTGTAAGTCCCCAGTTAGAGCACTAAGGCTCATCTTTGGCTTCCTCTCTGCAGGCTGAGTCATTAATGAGCACAGTTAAAAGTGTCTTCAGCCAACAGCCACCTTCCTTCCCCACACCCCCATGACAGATCAAAACCAATTCCGTGCCAGCTACCATGTCCTCTGTCCACAAGCACAGTCTCGGTCCAAAACAGCCTGGGACATGACAGGTCATATTCTAGGTAATAAAACTGAATTTACCAGAAAGCATTTCTCCTCCAAGCAGTGCGTTACAGCTAGACTGTCATTTCTGTGTTTCTTAACAGGTGCCATGAGAACCTTTACTGATAAACCACAGAGTCCGTTTTTCACTCGGCTTAATCCAAATACATTCTTGTGCTCCTAACCACATCAGCACAAAGCAATCCTGCCATTGCACTAGAAGGAAAAAGTTGCAGTACCAGCAAACTTTAAAGTAGCCATTCAGTACTTCCCTTTTTTAGTCACAACCCCCAGATTCAGAGTAAAACAGTAACTTAGTGTGAGTACCTCTGCATCGCTTTCTTGCAGACTTGCAGGAGTCTTGAAGGCGTACACCAAGTGAAGAACATGCAGCTCCCCATGCTAGAATGTAACAGAAGACACATTAAAAAACTATCACCTTTCTTGATGCAGTTCAGCACAGGATAATATTTTTATATACCTTTGGCAGCAGCTCTCTCAGATACTGATGATCGAGCAGCAGTTTCCCAGCATAAATCAGCTTTTGGTCCTCTTCAGGCTATAAAGAAGGGAAATAAAGAATAGGCTGACTCGCTCTGCCAAGCGGGCGCAAGCACCAGCCGCTACAGTGGTCATTAACACGTAGCCAGATGGACAGAGGCACGTGGCTGGAAGCACCCCATGCACTGGGGCACGCAGGGAATTGTGCACATCTAAATTCAGTTAATGAGATGAGAACAACTGAATGCTGAGGCGCAAGACTACCAATGCCGAGGTCTAAATCAGCACGAGGATATAAAGCACCCCTTTGGCAAAGAACTTTTATTACATGCTGCCTGTTTTCACAGCCGGGACAAAGCCATTTGTGTTTCTTAGAAACAGAGGCCTGGAGTACTGTCTAATTGGATCGGCACCAGAGGTGGTGTCAAATCAACCCGTTGCAGCCCGTGAGCTGAACCCCAGCAGCGGTTCACCTGCAGCACGGCAGCCAGGGACAGCGTACTGGCCTCACTTGGGGCGGTCACCTGGCACGGAGGGACAGCAGGGCACGAAACGTGACACTCGCCGAGCTCTCCTGGTGCCAGCTCACCAGGCCCACGGCTCCAAAGGAAGCCAAACTTCTGCCTTCTCAGCAAACAGCACCACAAACCCAGCCACCTCACTATGCACAGACAGGGCTGCCGCTCCTTCAACGGGGCTTTGTGCAGCCAAACGCAAAGTTAACTCTTCTCTCTAGAGTATTAAAGACCTCTCTTCACCCACACGAATAAAGGGGAAGTTTGAAACTAACAGAGCAGTGCATTTTCCTTTAGCTTCTCTCACACCCGCTGAAGCTTTCACATACATGCTCATCGTCTTCGGCCCACGTTCTATGGACTTAAGACAGCATGTGTGGCGCAAGAGGCCGGCACCCAACACAAAGCCAACGTTTTAAAAACCTTAGTGACGCACGTAAAGGCTGTATTTGCCCATTACTGGCTTCTGCTGAAGACTGCTACCAGAACAGCCTCTCAGTCCCTCCCCGTTTGAGCAAGATACGGGTGGCTCTCTTTAAAATTCTTAGTGATGCACGTAAAAATCGCATCTGCATGCGCTTCTTTTTTAAAAAAAAGCCCCGCA